TAGATAGATAGAAAATCTTAGATAGATCTTTTTTAGGTAGAAAATATTAGATAGATATTAGATAGCTAGAAATTATTAGATAGATCTTTATAGATAGCTAGCTAGATAATCTTAGATAGATCTTAAATAGATAGAAGATAAAGATGAAAACCTTGCTAAATTGCTAAATTGTTAAATTTCGAAAAAGATATTAAAAAAAACTTAATTTTTGCAAAAAAAAATCAAATTTTCTATTATTTTATCTTTCCTGCACCTGTCCAAGCCTTTACTATTTCAAACTTTTGAAATATGCTAAGACATTGGGTTGCAACGATTAGGGAATTGAAAATTAGAGTTAGTGCCAAAAAATCAGTTCCTTCATTTCTATTTTTATGTCTAGGTGATGCACTGCCATTTTTTCTTGTTGCTTCCCTTTTGATATGCCAATAATTTCTGCGGACAACCCTGTCATACATAAAGAGAATAAAAAAGCGTATTGTGGCCGATTTATCTGCAAACCTTTCAAACATTTAAAATAAAAAATAAACAAATATTTTCGCGTTTTTTTCTATTTTCATTTTAAATTTTAAATCAATGTATGTAGTATGTACTTTGCTTGTTTAACATTATAAATCTATATAAATACATTTTAAATCTATTTAAATACATTTAAATCTATTTAAATACATTTAAATCTATATAAAGACATTTAAGATCTATATAAATACATTTTAAATCTATATAAATACATTTTAAATCTATACAAATACATTTTAAATCTATATCAAAAAATCCTGGAAAATGCGTCAATTCGAAAAGAAAAAACTGTCAAAATTTGAAATGATTTTAAAAGGCCGACTTTCAGCCAGAGGCGTATTCAGGGGAGGGGGGCTATGGGGGCTTAACCCCCCCCCCCTGGACCAGTGAAATCTATTGATTTCAGGGGGTTTTCAGGTCCCAACGGGTGCTGAGCCCCCCACCCTGAAAAGAGAAAAAAANAGATGTATAATTACTGAGTTTGAGTGCATAGTCGACGTTCAAAATCATGAATTTGGGTGGTTACGTTTTCAGAATCGGTTTTTTTAAATATTAAATAACGACGCCCCCCCTCCTCCTCTCAGTAGTGGCAAAGCAATTTAGGGTTACAGAAAGCAAAAAGTAATAAATACTTTAGATAAAGAAAGTTTATAGATTTATAGCTTAAAATCTAGAATCCAAATATACTTAGCTTTTAATAGTTCTGGGGATGGGGTGAAATCAACGAGGTTATATTGTATAGAGTGATCATGTACGATAATCCTTAACTATAGGCCATGAACTATACCGAGAGTGTACTGCATGCATATTTGTTTATTATAGAGATTCTGGTCTAACCTATAGTATATCATTATTAGTAAACCGTTGTAAGATGTACAGAGCTGAAAACTTTAGAATGGGATATCTTTACTCCCGATCGGTTAATTAATCTGGAGATTAATAACAATAGGAGAACATGCATTATTTAATCTCGAGATTAAGAAAAAGAGGAGATCAATCATTGATTTCGATATCCACTATTCTAAAGTTTTCAGCTCAGTATAGCTAGCTAAACACACAGGTAGGAAACTATCATCAAAATAAACTCATAGTGACTCTTTTATGTGTTTTGATAGATCGATAAAACGATCACCACAAAACCCATTTATCTGAGAATGTACAATGTGTGTTTTGCCTTTTTTCCTTTAATTTTTTTCTATAATTGAGTTCAACCTCATGATATTCAGCGAAAAAAATAACCCTAACATTTTTTATAAATAACTTAAAAACGGCTTACATTATATGGCTTAAACCTCTTCACTTTTTCAACATAAATTTATTTTTTTGATTTTTTAGGTAGGGTGGCGGGTCGGTGTTTAAATAAATCATAAATGGTTAATACCTTTTTTAATGATTAAGCTACATGGCTAACATTTAAATATTTTAAAAGCCCTTAAAAAATGGATGTGAAAACTTGTGTCACATATTAATATTTGTCAAAATTAAAAATAACTATTTGAGAACATTTTTGTGACGTACTTATTGAACTTCCTTGCACCCTAACCATTAAAGTATAGAAGTATAATTTTTTTTAATGCTTGAAAAACGCTGCAGATCTACTCTTTTTGTTTAAATAAGTTTTACAGATTTGTTTTATTTCGGATCGACATTGAAGAAGAGTCAACAGACAGTTCCCTTGATTATATCTTAAACAAAACTGCTTACTGTAGTTTGTTCTTTTCAATTTTAAGGGACAGACCGGCTATAAAAGGTAGTTGAACTGAGCATGCAGTGTTGCGGAAAAATTCTTTAGGATTCATTTGAGACATATATAAGTCGTTTCCACAATGTATAATTACTGAGTTTGAATGCAAAGTCGACGTTCAAAATCATGAATTTGGGTGGTTACGTTTTCAGAATCGGTTTTTTTAAATATTAAATAACGACGACAAAATATAAAAAGTAAAAATTCTATAGTAAACTAATTAGATGTTTAGGAAAATATTTCTCAAAAGAAATTTGTCAATAAATCGAAGTTAGAATTAATCATTTTCTATGAATTTGTTTGCAGATTTCTTCAAATTCTTCAAATGTTGTTTTTTTAACTAAAAATTCCAGAAAATCTTTGTAATTAAAGAGAGATTATAGAAACTAATAATTGACTAAGATTACTTATTTTTATTTTCTCAACCTGTTCCTAAACAACAAATAAGTTCACTGTAGAATTGTGTTTACATTTCTTGTCGTCGTTATTTAATAATATTTAAAAAACAATTTTGAAAACGTATTCCCCAAAAAGTACGATTTTGAACATCGACTTTGCGCTCAAACTCAGGATTTACAGATCTTTAAAAAGTTTTATATGTCTTAAATGAATTCTAAAGAATTTGTCCCCAACACTGCATACTCCGTTCAACTACCTTACATAGCCGGTCACTCACTTGGATTAATTCTTAATTCTGAGATTTACAACACAAAAGTTCTGACTGACTTCTGGAGGAGACGAGTGCATGCAGACTTTTGCGCAAAAATCTGTAAAAATCTTATCGTTTCCTTCAATAGGAAGAATTTAAAATTAAAGCTTTACTTTTTAAATTTTAGTTTTTAAGACTTTGCTGGCAAAATTCAGAGAGGTTTTTTCGTGCTTAAATTTACATATAACATACATATTTTATTCATATTGATTTTGTATGGTTTTGTTTAAGCGATATTGTTTGATTTAGCCTCCAGCCAGGTGCATAATGAAATTGCTTTGTTTAATGAAATATTTAATAGGCTTTCTGCCATTTTTAGTCTCCGGGTAAAATCTTTTATTTTCGCCTTTCTATACTAACTAATTTTGAAAAAAAATTTAATTTTAATTTTCATGATTTATTTTAGTATGTCTTTTATATATATTTAATCCAGCATTGTTAGTTCTTGTCCAAATTTTGAAAATTGCATGTCACTGACACAAATTAAATTTGTTGAAATAACCGCATATTTGCAAATACGTATTTTTCAGTTTTGCATTGTCCTTGCTTGAAGTAGAAGATTTTAGTAAACGAGTTTGAAATTTAATTAGAATTAAGGAGAAGTTAATTTTATTCAAGTTTTATCCTTCATACTTAATAAACGTTCCTTGTTTTTTTTCTATTTCATTTTGCTGTACAGGTCCATCTTTTTTTATTTTTGCTGAACAGGTCCATTTTTTTCGTTTATTTTGCTGAACAGGTCCATCTTTTTCTTCATTTTTGCTGAAAAGGTCCATCTTTTTCGTTCATTTTGCTGAACAGACCCATCTTTTTTGTTCACACATTCTACGCTGTCAACTGCTGAACAGGTCCATCTTTTTCGTTCATACATTATACGCTGTCAACTTCTGAACAGGTCCATCTTTTTCTTTCACACATTCTACGCTTTCAACTTCTGAAAAGGGCCATCTATTTCGTTCACACATTATACGCTTTCGTTTATTTTGCTGAACAGGTCCATCTTTTTCTTCATTTTTGCTGAAAAGGTCCATCTTTTTCGTTCATTTTTGCTGAACAGGTCCATCTTTTTCGTTCATTTTGCTGAACAGGTCCATCTTTTTCGTTCACACATTTAACACTGTCAACTGCTGAACAGGTCCATCTTTTTCGTTCACACATTTAACGCTGTCAACTGCTGAACAGACCCATCTTTTTCGTTCACACATTATACAATGTCAACTGCTGAACAGGTCCATCTTTTTCATTCACACATTTAACGCTGTCTACTGCTGAACAGACCCATCTTTTTCGTTCACACATTATACGCTGTCAACTGCTGAACAGGTCCATCTTTTTCGTTCACACATTTAACGCTGTCAACTGCTGAACAGACCCATCTTTTTCGTTCACACATTATACGCTGTCAACTGCTGAACAGGTCCATTTTTTTTATTCACACATTTAACGCTGTCAACTGCTGAACAGACCCATCTTTTTCGTTTACACATTATACGCTAACAACTGCTGAACAGGTCCATCTATTTCGTTCACACATTCTAGGCTTTCAACTGCTGAGCAGGTCCATCTTTTTCGTCCACATATTTTATGCTTTCAACTTCTGAAGAGGTCCGTACTATTTCGTTTACACATTATACGCTTTCAACTGCTGAACAGGTCCATCTTTTTCATTCACTCATTCTACGCTGTCAACTGCTGAACAGGTCCATCTTTTTTGTTCACACATTATACGCTTTCAACTGCTGTACAGGTCCATCTTTTTCATTCACACATTCTACGCTGTCAACTGCTGAACAATTCCATCTATTTCGTTTACACATTCTACGCTATCAACTGCTGAACAGGTCAATCTTTTTCATTCACTCATTCTACGCTGTCAACTGCTGAACAGGTCCATCTTTTTTGTTCACACATTCTACGCTTTCAACTGCTGAACAGGTCCATCTTTTTCATTCAGACATTTTACGCTCTCAATATTCAAATTTTCATTTTTTTAAAATTATGTTTTTCTACATATCATAAGGGAAAGTACATTAGAGGTATTTTATAAGAACTCTTCGTGATTCAACTTTTAAAAAAGTTATTTATCCACCGTTGATTTTGGTATCATTCACATTTTTATTTCTTCGCTATAATTCTTGTCGTACGAAACTAATTTCAGATAAGTTTAAGACAAATGAACATGACGGATACCTATGTTTGGTTATTATTATTCATAGGAAAATCATATTAAAGATATAACTAAAAGACCCAAGCATACTAGGGGAAATACACATATACTATTCTGTAAATTATTTTACATTGATAACCATACAATTCTGGAAATGGAAGACGACAATCTTATTTGAAGCTAATGTTTTCTAGTAGATTAAAATTCAACTTATTACATTGAGTGAAATTGATTTGTGTACACTACACAGTTGTTGTTTTCATTTTCATTTGATTCTTAAAAATCATATTCAAAGACTAACAGTCGTCTTCCTATTCCACAAGTTTTTTTCATGAACAATGTGAAAAATAAAGCAATTTCCAAAGTTTTTCTTACAAAAGAATTTTAAGTTTGGAGTTGGTTCTTGGAGTTGGTTCTTTGAAAATTTGTCTTTCAACTATTGGTCAATTTTGTTCATTGGTTTTATAACTAAAGTGAATTATGCCAGAGTCTTGATACATTTCTTAGTTTTTTGAATTCATAACTCAGATCAATGGTACACTTGACAATTTGACAGTTCTTTTACTTACATTAATATGCTTTATTCCTGTACTCGGAAGATGTTATTGCTGGTTTTAAAACTGGGAAATCTTTCACCAAAATGATCGGTAAAATGAAAATGAAAACAAAAGTGTGTTCCCATTAAAAGTGTCAACATATTTAGGTTCAACGACCATCTTCACAACAGTTTCTGAACCTGCTCTGGATATGTATCACTGTGCCTTCAAATGTGCTGCTGGAACAACATGCCATATCTGGGAATTCAAGGTTATGTCAATGCGTTTTTTTTTATAGAAATGGGCATTGTTTTTGAACGAAATATTTAAAAATGAAGGATTTTTTTTGTAAACGATTGTGTTCTTCTGAAAAAAATTAACAAACAATGAACAAACGAATTAGATCGTGTCAAAAAATAAAATGAAGATAAAGAATGAACCATTTTAAAATCATCAACCATCGTTTATATTTAATTTAAGTTGCACCGTGCACGAACGATTTCTCAATAATCCATTCAAGAACGAATTGAAAATTGTTTTTGAACATTTTCCTACAACCCAACAAGACCCTCCCTAGCCAAACCTGACCTAACCTTTTCCTGAACGAAAAATTTTACTGCAAGAATAATTTGGTTGAATAGACGATATTACAAAACGAACAATTTTACGAAACAAATGGTTTTACGAAACAAACGATTTTACAAAACAAACAATTTTACGAAACAAACGATTTTAAGAAACAAACGATTTTACATAAAAACGATTTTTCGAAACAAACGATTTCACAAAACAAACCATTTTACGAAACAAACGATTTTACGAAACAAACGATTTTACAAAACAAACGATTATACGAAACAAATGGTTTTACGAAACAAACGATTTTACAAAACAAACGATTTTTCGAAACAAACGATTTCACAAAACAAACCATTTTACGAAACAAACGATTTTACGAAACAAACGATTTTACAAAACAAACGATTATACGAAACAAAAAATTGTACGAAACAAACCATTTTACGAAACAAACGATTTTACGAAACAAACGATTTTACAAAACAAACGATTATACGAAACAAACGATTTTACAAAACAAACGATTATACGAAACAAACATTTTTACGAAACAAAAAATTTTACGAAGCAAACGATTTTACGAAACAAACGATTTTACAAAACAAACGATTATACGAAACAAACATTTTTACGAAACAAAAAATTTTACGAAGCAAACGATTTTACAAAGCAAACGATTTTACGAAACAAACGATTTTACGAAACAAACGATTTTACGAAACAAACAATTTTTCGAAACAAACGATTGAAACAAACATTTTTACGAAACAAAAAATTTTACGAAGCAAACGATTTTACAAAGCAAACGATTTTACGAAACAAACGATTTTACGAAACAAAAGATTTTACGAAACAAACAATTTTTCGAAACAAACGATTTTACTGAGCAAATTGTTTTGCTTAAAATCTATAAAATACTATAAAAGGAAAGTGAACGACGATTCAAAAAATGATCGAATTCCAATTTGTACTGACAACAGAATTAAAAAAATGAACAAAGTATGTTGTTAACAAGCGATAAACAAATGAATTTAAAAAAGCTGAACGCGTTCATCTCTACCTATATTATCATATAAATCATATCTTACCATAAAGAATGAATTAAATAAAATTTCATAATTTCAATTGCCATAATGCATTTAAAGAGTAACGTGTCCAGGTCACAATTTAGTGCTAATTAAAAGTAATTATGTCTGCAATTAAGGAGATAAATCTTAACACTATCTGGCCTATCGTTTTTTTCGATAACACAAAAAGTATTTAAGCTAGGAATTTCAAATTTTCTGGCTTTTTTAACACTTGTCCCTCACTTAAGGCTAAAACCTGGGCTTTTACACCTACTGCCTGAGCCATCAGGCATACTTACTAAATTCCTTATTTTACCTATACCAGACTAAATCTAAATTTAGACCTACTTCCTTGGATTTCAACATTTTATAGCTCTTTGAAAAGCCTACAACAAAATCAAGCAGATCTCATAATTTTTGGAAAGAAATTTTGCACAGATTTTTACATAGACGCCTTTAAAGGGAATTTTTTACATTTTCAGTTTTTCTTGAAAACACATTTAAGTTTTGTTTCACAATAAAAAAATAGAAGGGGAGGTCAATTTGGCGTTTGTTGTAAAACTAAATCTTAAATTATTTTTGAATGTTCAGGATGGTCAGTGTACGATGGGGCAAAAATTTGGTAAGATCTATAGTTTTTGAAAATTCATTGATAGAATTTAATTTAAAATTCATTGATAGAATTTATTTTAAAATTCATTGATAGAATTTGATTTAAGATTTATTGATAGAATTTGATTTAAAACTCATTAATAGAATTTATTTCAAAATTTTCAAACATTTCAAACTATTGGGAGGAAAAGTGTGAACAGCTTTTATTTGTTGAATATTGGCCTCCCAAATATCCAAGAAGCAGAATTAGGATTTTAAAAAAAAAATTTTTAGCAAATATTTGTTTTAGGTTTCGGCGGGAATCAATACAATGCTACAGGGGCATGGGAAGCACCACTAGGTAATTTATATAGTGTTAGATGCAACATATAAGATTATTAAAATCTTATATGCGAACCAAAATAACAGTGTTATAAATAGTTATTATAATGCTATAATTAGGTTTACAGGGCATAACATTTTTCGGACAGAAATTTTCTCTTATACATAAAAGTTATCCTTGCAAGATTTTATCATAATCTGAAACATAAAAAATCTTCCTTTTTTATTTTACAAATTTTTCGATTGCAAACTTGTAATATCAATATGGTTTATTTTTAATTTTTCTCATTAAACTTTTTTTAATTATACTGAATAGGAACTGATTTGGATGGTGTGTATGCTTTTAAACTACCATAAATCATTTTTAAAACTGTAATTTATATTAATAACAAAGAAACTGAGCATTGTCCTAAACTCTAATAGTCTAATTACATATCTTTGCAACATATGATGGTGAATACATTTTATATTTAACACTTAGATTATTTGATCCAACAAAATAGTTTAAAATATTAAAGATTTACAACATTGGGTTTTAAATAAATAGGGATGAAAAAATAGAGTTTGTGGCAAAACTTCAGTTTCTTTCCAACGAATCTTTATTCTTAAACGTATTTAATTTGGGGTAACTGCCAAAAAAAAATTCAGAAAGAAAGGTTACAGAAGTAGAATCCTAAAAATTCTATTGAAAAAAATTAACAAATTGAAAATTAGTTTTAACATGGACCAAAGACATGAAAGAAATGTTTTCATGGAGAAAATGGTACATCATATCCCCTTGCAGCTTTGGCTTATATTGTGTGCATTGTACAGTGTACATATATTTGTGCAGGGAGTTAAGCACAACATTTTTTGGGACTTTTATCATTGGACCTTTTTTTATTTTATTTAATTTTAGATTTTCGTAAAATTATAAAGATCGACGAAAAGAAAATTGTAAGTCCGAAAATATGTTATTATTGTTTCAGCGGAGAGAAATACTAAAACATTTAAAAATGAAATAGAAGATGGCCGGGAAGCGTCTTAATAGCCTATGATTACTTAATTTTCCCAAAAAAAGCAGTTGCACACAATTTTACTTAATTTTCCCAAAGGAAAGTTAGATAAAAACATCCTGCTGTTTGGGGAATGATGAGCTGGTAAAATTAGTCTGAATTTAGTAAAACTAGGCATTTAGGGCGCTTTGAGCTAGAGATGTCAACAATAGTGTAATGTAACGTAAAATGTACGTTTTTGTACGTTACATTACAATAATGTGTAACGTTTGGATATATTTTATATAACGTTAACGTTAAACGTTAAACATTAATGTTATTGGAGCTCATACCTAACGTTAACGGTAAACCTTAACGTTAGAGGAACATACACCCAACGTTAGCGTTTTGTGGTAATGTAACGTTATTTTTCTAATTTCTACAACTTGTTTGACCATAATGTGAAGAAATGTTTTGTTTCCATGGGGAGCTTGAAAGTCTAACGTTTGAATAATTAATTGTGATTTGATTGAATATCGTAACGAAAGGATTTCTATTTCAAAATTCAACTTACAAAAAGTGTAACGTTGTAGAACTAAAAAATGCATTACTGTTTATGAAAACGTTTTCCATTATAGTATAATGAAAAATTCAACGTTCCAGAAATGGGTTATTATTTTGATAAATAGGAAACGAAAGTTTTTTTACAGAGTATAAATTTCAATAATGTAACATAAAACATTATAAAAATGTAATTTTGTAAATCAAAACGTTTCATAACTTTTCTCTGAAAACTAAATTGATTAGTCTTATGTTAGATATATGTCTGATGAAAATATTGTTTTTAAAACGTTAGACTATGAGGGCTGAGTTTTAATTTCAAAAGTGTAACAATAATTCTGCCAATCAAAACATTTCAAAACTTCTCTTATCAATCAATTTAAATGCAATGTAAGAGATTCGACTGATGATTATGACAGCAAAGACTAATGGTTTTTCATTTCAAGTTTAAACGAAATGAGTTTATGCCACAAACTCTAATTTTCATATAATATATCTTTGCAACCCGATTTTGTAGACAATTAATATGGAAATATACAAGGTTTAAATCATAAGCTTGGAAAGATATAGGGATTAGTATGTTTGACAAAAACTAAAGTGTAAACGGGTTATTTTGTAACATGCTATTAGTGAAAATTCAAATCTTATAAATGTTTCTTTTGCCATTGTTTAATGAAACCCACTAAAACTCTGGAAACAGAAGACGATATTTAAGAAATTTTACATATGCATTTTCTGTTGTAAAGCAAATGATTTACTAATAGAAAAAAAATCAACCTTTTAAGTGGAACGGGTCTGTGAACACAATTGCTGGGTTTCATGTTTATTTGACTGATAGAAATCATAACTTCAGTTGGCGTGGTTCATGTTTTAGGTTGAAAAATTTAGAAATGTAGGTACTTACTAAAATGCAAAAATATTTTATCATTTGGAAAATGCGTGCTGTTTTATTCATCAATAGATTTTTACGAATCTTTAGAATCAAAGAGAAAGGAATATATATTAGAGAGGAATTTAGAAAATCTTTCGGTATGAATTTTGTCAGTCCCTTTCAGCCTGAAAAGGAGTTTAAAGTGTACAAATCATGTAAATGTTCACAAATTATATGCAGTAGAGTAAATTAATACAGTATGTTCCCTTGACTATCCATTTCAATTTCAAATTTTTTAAAGTTGTTAAATAAACTTAATAAAATAAATAAGAGAATAAAAAACATCATTTGATTTATAAGTTTTAACGGAAAATCATCGTTTGTAAAGTGAAAGGCATAGAGTCTTTGTGAAATGATCATTGGTCAATTGTGAAACCAGTCTATTTCATAATTTGGTTTTTTTATAATATTAATTATAGATTTTCCATAAAATGATGTTCCAGGGACCAAAAGGTTATATAGCATAAATATGTGAAGTACACCTGCAGTATGGAAACAGTACAACAAAATGGCTGTTTTACCCTTTTTTCTAGTAAATTCCCCTCTAATATATATTCTATTCTTTCTGTTTAGAATAGAATAAAAGCTAATTTTTTAATCTATTTGCTAAAAAAAAAGAAAAAATGTATTACTTCTGTCAGATAAGAAAGTCTAAAAGAATTGAGTTGTTGTCAAAAACTTAAATTTCTAATCCCTATATCTGTGCTACCTATTGTTGTAGACCTTAGATATTTTAAACTATGAATTCTGTTAGATAGAAGAAAATTTGCAGTTTGCATTGAGTAAAAATAGAAAAAATTAACCCTAAATTAGCGTAAAATAATTTAGAACTACTGTTCCACAAGCAAAAGTGGTTTGCCTTGCCGAATTTTAATTCATTTTATGATGATAATTTCAAGTGATCCTATATTTAAAGAGGGTCAAGCTCGATTCCCAATGGAAACGTGTATACCTTTATCTGATGATGATTTAAAAATACCAGCGTTTTCCTATCTTGTAAATGTATGCTGGACATGCCACTCCATAAATGGAAGGTCACTTGAAATTACGTCTCTAGTCCCTTTAAGACACACCCTTGAGTTGAAAGTCTATTGCTAAAATTTTAAAAACCGTTAAAAATAATATTATAACATCTTTATATTACAAATTTTTCTACACATTCTCTAAAAAGGTTAACAATGCAACAGCAACATACAAAGTGAGTAAAAAAGGGATTAACAACACAATTTTTTTGGCATGGCATGTTTTAGGATGAAAAATACTAAAGTAGTAATGTAATTATCACGGAAAAAATCTTGTAATGCTTTCATTTAGAAACAATATTATATTTAATGAAGCGTAATGTAAGAAACGTTAAGACTTGAACATTTTAATACAACACAACGTATTCAGATTTTTTCAAATATTTCTAAGAATTGAAAGAGTTTTGATTGTTAGTTGTAAAAAAGTTTTCACAATAACGTTTCGATAAATCGTAACGTAAGAAAAGTTGCATTTTAGTAAAATGTCTAAACGTAATTAATAGAGTTTATTTTGCATGCAAGTGGAACGTTAAGAAGTTGTGGTTATATTACTAAAGCTTTAACGCATCGTTGGGAAAGTTTTTTAACACGGGAAATGCAAAAGCGTAACGGAGCTCACTGTTTTTCACTAACATGTATAAAAGCTTAACGTTGTATAAGGCATTCAAGTGCAGAAAATTCATTACGTAACGTTACTCTATGCCATAAAATTTCGTAATGTGTAACGTAACATTTCAGACATTTATACTTTTGATAAATACTATCGTAACGAAAGCTAAAATCTAGAAAAATCAAAACGTTGACATCTCTTATACTTCCTCTACTTCGCGCCTATCTTCTATTTCAACATTTAATTGTGGCTTTATCTCTGAGCATCTTCTCTTTTTACAGTATAAAACAAAAATTTAAAAAAGTTTGCAGATTTCATAATATTTTTTTGCGCATTTTCAAAATTTTACAAAAATAAGAAAACTTTTAAACACAAAATTTTAAAAGTTTTGATCATTCAAAACCTTCTCTGGGGTCACGCGAGGTCCCACACAAAATTTGGGCCAGATCGGTTCAGCCGTTTTGACGTTTATTGGATGCAAACAAACCAACACCCTCACAAGCTAAATTATTATATAGAAAAAAGATTATTCCCAAAATAAATTTTATTCTTCATACAAAACTATTTTCTTTTTTTATATGTTTAATGTTTAGTATTTCCTGAAGAAACTCCCTATGGATGTGCCTGTAGATGTAAGAACAACTCAGAGTGCACTCACTTTGTTTGGTACTCCAATGGCTTTAATGGAAACACGTGTACTTTAAGAAAAGATCTTGGCGCTGTTGTAGATCTTCACGTTAAATATCAAATCGGAGGATCTCTCAGCTGTTAGTTTCATGATTAACTAAGAGATAAATAAGTAAAATTGGCACAAATTGGTTAATAAAAAATAAATAAATTTTTTACTTTAATTCTTGTTTGTCTGAATATTTTTTTTAGAAATAGATCGTTTTCAGAAGAAATCTATCCTGTTAACTATATTGTGTGACTGATTGTTTAACCGCTAGGTATCTCTAGAAGATTCTTATCTGATTATGAGGACGTATGCAGCTCAGAGACATCGATTGATCGGTCATTGTGTTGTTTACAAGATATAGACTCTTTAACATAAATAGGTGGGTGGAGAGAGCTCACTTTATGTCAGTCAAATTTTAGGGTTGAAACGATTGGTTCGTTTTTTATTAAAGTACAACGATCCATCCCTAAGTGTTGGCCGTTTTTGAGTTATAGAGAAAAAACCGCACACATGCACCTCTGCCCCTTTAGAAAAAGTAAATTCAACCTATATAAAGCATAAAGTCTGACCGCGTCAACCTTGTTGCACTGGCTAGTCCTGTCCATAGAGCTAGGTACAGTACAAACTAGGACCGGAAAGGGTGACCCGGATCGGAAATTCAAATATACTACGGCTTCCCGTGCACAGACAGGATTTAAGCTTAGCTAATAATATTTACATGTTTAGCCTAAAAGGGCATTTTCTGCACTTATAGCTTTGATTGATAAAACAATTCATTCCATTAGAGAGAGACAGAGATATAATTAAAAGAGATAATAAATAGAAACAAAAACATAAGTTAAGAAAATGATTTCCTCTCTTTCAGTTTTTGATTGATATTTTATCTAAATTGATAAATCTAAGAAACGGATCAGGATTATTCTCTACCCTGCTAATACAGGGTGTCCCACGAAACATTGCAGTTGTTGAATAGTTTTAAATTTCTTCTTCCATATGCTGTATCAGATATTAAAGACTTTTCGTAGTTTATTTAGTTTTAAAAACTTTACTCAAATATATTTTGCTTAAAAATTAATTTTTCTATAACTAGCCTTAGAGAGCGCTTCGCGCCCATCTTCTAAATTAATTGTGAACATGTTCTCTTTGTGTACATCGTAAAACAAAACAAAAATAATTCGCGGATTTTCACAAAAAATTTCGCGGATTTTCAAAATTTTTAAAAATTTAATGACGATCGAATTTTGATGGAGACAAATATTTGAAATTTTGATTTTTCATAAACCTTCCCTGGGGTCCCTAGATGTCCCACAAAAAATTTGGGCCCGATCGGTTCAGCCGTTATGACGTTTATTGGATACAAACAAACAAACAGACAAACAGACACCCAGACAGACAAGCCAAATTTATATATAGATATGGATGCCATAATATACTTATTATTATTCTCTTTGGGAAACAAAGAACTTGAAATATAATGGAAGAAGACATTTTAAACTATTTACCAACGTCATGTTTCGCGGAACACCCTGTATGTAAACACAATCAGCTGGCCGCTGGTATACAATTTGATAGAGGTGGCACCAGGGTCAGACTTGGCCAGGTATTAGTAATTATAAAGTTGGTGATTTTTTTTCACACCATCAATGCAAGGAATTGAGTCTTTGCCACAAACTCAATTTTTTCATATCTTATATCTTTGCAAACTTTTGGTGTAAACCTTTTATATTTCAATCTTTGATTATATCACCTAACAGCATTATTAGTTTGAAATATCAAAGGTCTACACCATCAGGTGGCAAAGTTATTGGGATTGTAAAATCAGAGTTTGTGGCAAAGACTCAATTCCTTTGGTAAATATTGTGTTTACCTTTGTATTGCAGTTACAAAAGCAGGAACATTTGGGGTTAAAACATGTACCCATTTGGGGTTAAAACATGTACCCATTTGGGGTTAAAACATGTACCCATTTGGGGTTAAAACATGTACCCATTTGGGGTTAAAACATGTACCCATTTGGGGTTAAAACATGTACCCATTTGGGGTTAAAACATGTACCCATTTGGGGTTAAAACATGTACCCATTTGGTTTTCTTTTAAAATCTAGATATTTATTATCTCCGTATCGAGATTATATTAAGGTTACAAAATTGTTTATATGGATTTTACAAAAAACTATTTTACGATAATGGCGTGTACATACATTTGTAAATTAATCAAGAAGAAATCTATTAGTTTACGGATACATTTTTTCGTTTTTCTTGCCAAAACTAAATTTAAAGAACATCATCATCTATTCAAGTATTGACGAGGCAGCAGTTCAATAGAAAAAACTACATGATTTATAATAAGATAGCATACTTATATGCACTATGACTTAGAAATACGACAAACACAGTGTGTGTTATCGCTTATTGGAAAATGGGACAATTAACTTTGTGCATGTTTTCACATAAACATGCATGGGAACGAGTTTTCTTTTTTATATTAAAGAAAGTTATAGCTTCATAACGAGAAACATTGACGGTTCTTCGTTATATTCGTTAATATTGAGGCTATACATAACATAGGATAAAATAAGAAATATAGGTGTTAGCTTCGTAACAAGGAACATTGACGGTTCCTTGTTAATATCAAGGCTACATAAACTAGGATAGTGGAAAGAGACAAGATTTCAGTCTCTTTGTGTTCATCATATCTTGTGAAGTGATGGTTCCTCGGCCGTTTCTTTGTTGCGGTGAAGTTTGTCTCAGTTATCCACCGGTTCAGGAGACGTTTCAGTTCTGTTTATACGTTAAATTTCGCAGAAGAGTTCCTCTCCGAGATCAGTCAGTCATTCCGCCAGCATTCCGGGTTCGGTTTGTACTAAATAATGCAAAAAACACTAATTAATATAATTTTTCAGGACGGAAAAGTTTTAATGACAGATCGATAATCTTCTTCGGCTTAGCAGAGATTTATTTAGTTTAAATCTTAAATCAGTTCAAAATATTGAATTTAAAGATTGTAAACAAGGCTCAGTATTCCTAGGTAGCTTGTGGGGGTCTCACCATGGCGTGTATATAGACGAATTCATAATGGTAAAAAATTTTAAAATAATAAAAAATCCAAAAAAATCCAAAAATCTTTTTTTTAATTCCCAGAGTTTGTTTGTAAATACAAATAAAAATTACAACAATCTTAATAGAAATATGAACTAAAATGTTGCTTGTTTGCGTACAATTAAACACCTTACATACTAATGTTTTAATCATTACTGTAGGCGTTATTCCCCCTAGATAAGAACTGATTTACAAACAACAACATCTCTTTAAACTTGCAATTGAACTTTCTCCGGATTATCCTTATGAAAATGTCGTTATTCTAGCATGGTACATGTTACATTATGATAATTTCTTCATTATGCCTGGAGCAAGAAATATACAGGTTAATTTTTTTTTTAAATTATCAATAATCAGTTTTCATTGAACAAAAATGAGGATAAATAATTCATACCCCAATTGAAAAGAGACTACTTTTGAAGAAAAAATAAAATATCCCATTCATTCTTATTTAGACGAAACTTTCAAGCGTACCATTGTGCATCATGTATGCCCATTGTGAAAAGGAGGGTCGTTTGGAATTTAGCTTAGAGTCCCTGTAATATACAACCCTCAATTTCCCA